ACAAGCAAACGATGGAAGGTGTTGTGGTCCGCCTCCTGGTGGTGTTCTCCGGTATAGTTTGAGTAGCCTGGGCACCTACTCCACTTGGGAAGGAGACATCTCAGATCACATATCGCGCGGAGAAAAGTTGAAAGATGATGGAGGCATGTCTGGATAACCCAGGGTTTTTGAGATGTTCCCCTGGGTGGGTATTCACGGATGAGGGTTGACTTGGGGTGAAGAAAAAGCCACCATAACTTCGCAGTGGTACTTGCAAATGAAATCCGAGGCATGAGTGCTCTTCTTGTAAATTGAGTCATCTATCATACACTTCTCTGATATTGTGTCATAGCTAGATAGCTGCATACGCAATTAAAATCTGATGCAAAAAAAAAAAAAAGATTTTATTTTAAATTGGAGAAGACTAGATTCTTGTCCGAAATCTAGCCAATCCGCGCAATTTGTCGTGTCTCAAGTGAGGGTTCGCTGTAAAGCGCTCACAATAGCTTTATGAGTTTGTTTCAGGCCTTCTGGCTCTCATTAGATTATATAATGTTGTAGATAACATCAGTCAACGTGTCCTCTCAGGGATGGGGCTGCAGCCATAACTGTGGCCCGGTAGATCTTGAAAATAAATAAATCAAATGATAAAGGGTTTGAATTTCCTTGAATATGAATTTGATTTAATTTGACCTGATTTGATGCCCTGTGGGCCCATGCAAGTTTCTATAAGTCAGTAAGTATCACAGGAGTAATTTACTTTGTAATGCGGATGTGGGTTTAGTGAAAGTGCATCCATTCCCTCTATAGGTTCGGATTTTATTACTATTCAGTAGTCGTGTCTGCCAAGACGCTAGCCAGTATTCTGCCTCAATACACACCCACGTAAGATTACTATTGGTACGACTATTACTACATAATCTAACTATGTATTTTTCTCTACTGTATTAGAATACAAAAGTCTCAGCTGGAGAGTGCCTTTGACTTCTTTCGATAGCTCAAGGCGCATGGCAGGTAGGCCTTGGCCCATTTATAACATGTCGGGCTTATTTAAAGGTATCGGCACGTTGGGTAGTTTATGTAGACTGAGCTGGTCAACACGAGACCTTATTGTTGTGTTGTGAGCTAGCACGACGTTAAATAATAATAAATAAATAACTATGTATTTACACGAGGGGGAAACCATTACGATAAAACCCCCTTCCCCTGTTAAACTTCATTTTTCTCTATAGTCATTTGTTACCTAAAAGAAGTGCAATTAGCCATGAGTCCGAGACATGACTAGCTAAAATAAACCTCGCCATCCTTTCCCTGCCCTCACATGCCGAAAAGTGATGATTGTAGTCTTGAATTCGACCCCTATGGTGCAAATTGTTATGGTTTTGGGCCTGGGACCTGGAATTATTTGCGCGGGCGTCCAGGCCCTCTCTTAAAACCCTCTGGCCTTTGGTTGGACACAAGTGTGAGCCCTTGGTCGTCTACTTGCTCTGCCGCTGTTGTTAGTGCAGTTACTGTGAATGCTTCGCTTTCCCTTCTTAATTCCGCCATTTTCTCCATAAGTCCATACCGTGCCCGCTGGAAGCTGGCCTTGTATGCCGCGAAGCTTGGACACGTCCCTTTCGAATGACTTCGCGTTGTAGAGCCTCTGTCGGTAGGCTGGCGATCGCCGACCTTCGATTATGACCGTTCTTTTCCATCCATGGGTGCTCTTTGCCATCGTAAAGCCACCTCACCCTGTTGATTTTGATTCCAGGAATCCGAAATTTTGTCTCCGTTGTCATTTTAAAAATTGCCACGCTATTGTTGGCATTCTTTCCTCGGCGTATTATCGTCCCCAGTGGGACCCCTAAAGTTTCAAGAGGATAATCCTGCTTCAAAACGCTGAACTCCTTAGGCCGCGCCATCCTCAAGGCAGCGTCTCGCTGGGAGACCGACTGCACGAATAACTCAGTATCGTTGCTCCGTAGTTGCGTTACGGCGTATGCTACATCAATTTATTGTTTTGCCTTGTTGAGCAGCTCTGCCGCCTGCGTCTTTTCTACTCCTTTAACTGGTATCCGTACTGCCGCTTTGGTCGCTGTTGGTGCGACGATCGAGGCGTACGTGAATCGTCCTCCCTTTGTTTGTGCTGACTGAGGAGCCGTCTTGCGCATCGGCTTCTCGAGACTCTTCTTAATTGCCTTTACTAAGGATCACATCCTTTCCTCCATTGGCTTTGCCAAAATCTTAGACTGTAACATCTGAGTGTGGGCTTTGAAGGCGTCAAGAGCCTCATCTATTTCCACTATAGGTGCCGTAGATATATAAGTACCTCTATTCACCAGTCTGCCTCAGACCTTACTTAGATATGTGCCCACTGTCTTTAAAAAATCCATATTGACCCCTGTAGATATCACGAGAGGATCTGGAGCCGCAATTACGGCTGTTCCGCTGCCCATTGTTGGTTGTGCTGGTGCCATGAAAAAGTTTTCAGCCGCGAAATCCACCTTTCTGGCTCCCCAACTCGCCATGCCGAAGCGCTACGAAAAAAATTCAGGGAATCAGGTAAGAGGGATCGATTACGATGAATGCAATAATAAAAACGATGAAGTAACGTTCGTGGAACGTGGTGCCGTTTTTCCTGAAAAATGATCTTTGAATTTCATTTTGATGATTATTCTCGAAGGAGGGTCTACTGCGTTTGTAGACAAACGTACCTCATTGGTATTTGCGAATTAAATACATAGTATTAGTGTCTCCGACGCCAAAAGGGTCATCCTACATCTAGATATAATCCCGATCACGTGCCATAGCTAGATAGCTTAAAAAATCCGAGTAATTTAAAAAAGTTGAAACTGCATGCGCTGGGAAAAGTTTCAAAAAACCCGCAGCCCCAGCCAGGCGAGGCCTAGACACCGGGACCACATGAGGTGCGCATATCCATCTACATCTCCTTTCTTCGATACATTAGAGGCCGACTTGATCTAATGCACTATCGCCGTCGTAGGGGACATCACTGACAGGTGTTGAGAATAGTCACCCATAATGTAGTGGTGGATCGTATGTAAATGTATAATTTTACGAATTAGTCTGCTGAGATATCGTTCTTTTTCTTGATAGTAGGATTGTCCCTTGTAGATTTACGCCAGTAAAGGACACACATGTTCTCCATACCTACAAATCAAGAATGCAAATCCCTCATTTGTAGCTCCCCTCTGAAATCCTCACTACCAAAACTCCACATTCAATCATGCACATACAGGTGTCTTTTGCCTTTCAATATATTCTCTCTTCAACAAAAGATAAGGAAGTCATTTTCAGGTCTATATATCAGCTTGGAAAGCTCGTTGAGACCACCGAGTGCGTACTTGCTAAGTTACCGACAATAGGGGAGGGTAAAGACTGAACACCTGTACGCGGTGTCCTCTTCGAACCTGGGAATGAAATAATCTCTCAGAGCCAAGTTCAGTCAAATTTAGCTATGCCAAAAAGGTTGGTCCACGAGGCAATGATTCAATATACTCCACCACGTCAAATTTTCACTCCCAACGAGATCTACTCCTACCGAAGCCTCATAAAGTCTGCAGATACGACCTAGTACATCCTCATTCCACTTATTACACCTCTTGCAGACCTTCTCTGGCATCAGCTCGTTACCAAACATACGCCCACGTCGATATTTACACCCGACGGAGGACACAAAGCGTGGCGCACAAATTTGGGAGACAGTGTTGTGATATGAGAATCCCCAATTAAAATAAAAAATAAAAGTTTTTCTTAAATTTTCTGTGTTATATAGTTGTAAATTCAAATAGGACATAAATGGATAATTAATTAATTATGACATGAGGCAATGACGAAGTCGAGGCTAGGGCATCACGTGTGGCTCAAGGCTACAGCATTTATCACTAGTTTACTGGTTAGGCGAGCAGCGCCCAGCTGGCCGGCCCTTTCGAACGCTTCAGAAGAATCATTACGTCTTCGGATTTAGTCCTAATGTAGGTAGTAGGAGAGCTCTGCACCCAGTGGTTTTTGCGATTTTCCCCGGCTGCCATACACCCGCAAATGGCCATCGTTTCGTTGGCTGGAAAGGGGAGATAATGAAGGGCAAAGGGCTCCTTTTAGTGTATGATCGAATGAGGACTTGTGAGGGGTGGTACTGTTTGAGGGGAGCTGTATGGGAGGCATAAGAGGGGATATACTACTGGTATAGGTATCCCTGGCCTGTAGGCAAAGAGGACCTGCATGCTCCACATAGTCATAGACTCAGACAGCAGAATAAACTGAATTAACTCATCTTCAGTTTCTATACAGGATGAGAAATTAAATTTAACATTTATTTTCTGCATAAAATTCTTCTGATAAGATAATGGATTACTTTTCAAATTTTTGTTTTTACTTCATTCAGATATTATAGCCATTTATCATGAAAGCTTTAGTGAATTTTTGTTCCTGCTATTGCAAAGCTCGTCTCTTTCCTTCCAAGAAAAAGACGTGACGCTTCCTTATCAAGCCTGTCTGTTGCGATCTAGCAATACCTAAGCTACGATTAGTGGAGAAGAGTGTGCTAAGAATTGGCAAGGGCCATAGCTCCTCGTTGACTTATAAATAATTCTCTAAACTCATTACCTCGTTGCTCGGTGAGTACAAGTTGAAGCGTATTCAGTCTGCCGGGTAATGACTCGTAATTGAGTCAATCTCATAATTCGTCACTCAATGTTGCAAAATATATTTGCTAGGACAAAATTTATTTCTCCGCAAGGATCTCAATAGTTTACCAATTCACAATTTAATTTCGCAGCGCGTGCACTAAATTAAAATCTCTGCACTACATCAACCTTACATACAAAATATTAACTTTTCCGCGTATCTCTGCTGGGCCTTTAGACCTCTGGTTCAAAGTCAATATTCTCAACCCTAAAACTTGGGCTCGTGTGCTCAGATACCGGCACGAAATTTCATCTTTTCTTCGGGAATATTTCTGCTATTAATACTACATAAATCTTACAAGTCTTCGAGATATCTAGCGGCAGGCTGTCAATATGGTCTACATCTACGCCTTGCTCTTGATACCGAGTTCCATTTCTAAAATTCCAGGCCGTGTTGTGTTCAGTAACACACTTCCGATAAATAATTTCCAGAGTACAATTCGCAATGATGTCTATAAACTTTCCAATTCCGAATTCCCGAAACCTGAAGACAACTCTGGCATTTTTATGGCTATAGATGACTCACGTACTCCGGGAACTCATCACGCAGTCTATAGTGCTCCAAATATGCCATACGCTGATATGATAGCCAGAATTATGGGCGGAGCATCACCCTTGACAGATGAACAAGTCATTAATCTTGACAAAGACGCTATTGCAGTTCAAGAATGCCACCAATATCTTCAAAGTAAAGCCCAGGAAGTTGATACAGTGATGCCACTAAGTTTTTTGAATGTGGTGAAGTCAAACAAATGTACTGCAAGATTAATTGCAACCCTAGCCTCTGAAGATAAGGTCAAAGTAGAAGGTAAACATAATTATTTTGCACCATATTTATCCACTTCATCTATCCGAATAGACGCCGATTATATAATTAAATTAGAAGACTTAGTATTGCCAGAACAATCAACTATTTACAAAGGGTCTCGCACGCCGCGAGCATTTGTGTGGTATCAAGGTAGACCTCATCTAGTCTTTGGATGCATTGAAGATAAGCGTGCATGGTTCATAACGAGCACGATCATGGGAAGAAGGGAACGTAGATCATTAGATGGAGCTATATTGTTAGTTAATAACAGGTACGGGAAGAAAGAAAGTCTTGTGAAAAAAAGTAGGCTAGGCATTGAGCTAGACCTGAAGAGATATTCGAAAATAAACCCAACAGTAGATCCTTATACCAACGGAAGAGTCTCTATAGTAAGATTATCGAATCCACCAGAGAAAATGCCCGGTGTTCTTGTCGACTGGTATGATTGCCTATCATATAAGAGTTCATCACCCAAACTCTTCGACTGGGGAGCACGATCTAAACCTTCATGAGTGTATCTATGGCGGAAACCGAGTTGGCTGTTGAATTATAAGAGCGTTGGTCAAACATAATTATCCCTATACCTTAACATAATGGAGTTATATGATATTATTATTGTCACCGAATACTACCCCAGCACCCAGAGGGCATGGCACAGGTAGTTTAGATCCATATGACTCTTCGCTACCTATATTTTTGTTTCACAGAAATTAGGAACGCAAAACAAAAAAAACGAACAAAAATAACCAATTAAATCATCATTTCTAAGGTGCTAATGCCATGCACTACACCTTAATTCTCGTACCACGCCAATCGGTCCTAAGAAGCATTACAGTTGATCTTTTAACCCCCTGTTTATGATTCATTCTTGCTGTAAATTTTGTTACAGTTAAAAAGCGCCAGAATTTCTGCCATCCTTCATGCCCTATCATATCCCTTATCATGGGGCGTAGTTCCTTCGTTTCCGTCTGCCATTTCTGAATAGCCAGGCGCCATTCTGCAAAATGCCATGGCCGTTTTTCTCGGCCGCATTTGCAGAGTATTTCTACATTCTGGTATTGGAACCGTCTGTAATAGCCGGCGAAGTCACCATGCCCAGTCCTTGCTGCGATGAGGCGGTGATCTGCCCATCGAGGTAGAGCTAGCTCTGGAGGGTGTTTTCTTCGCATCAGTAGGTCCAGGTCTTAATACATATCCGTTCTGCTCTTATGCCACTAATCTTCCGCCAGTTTCTATACGCGGATTGTGACCTGGCGCTCGATAGCTGCAAATGTCAGGACTTTCTGAGCTTCCTCCCAGATGATCTTAAGTCTCGGTTAATTCCCTTCCCTAATTTTTGCTGCATGTGCTGCCTTTGCTATGGCGTCGGCCCTTTCGTTTCCTAGTATGCCGCTATGCCCCGGAACCCAGCAGACCTCTATGACTAGTCGGTTCTTGCATAATTCACAAAAATTCATTACCTCTACTTGCGAGGAATTTGTTCTGCCAGTCTCAAGGGCTCTAATCGCCTCATGATTGTCGAGGAGCACCTTGATGTCTACACTCCCTCCAATTTTCAATGCCACCTCTAGACTTTGAACTGCCCCCACGATTTTCGCATCAAAAATCTTAGCTCCAGGAAGGAAATTACCACCGATCGCTATACGTTCTCTATTCCTATATATGGCGTAGCCATAGGCTGAGTATGTTGGGCCGGTAAATGACCCATCACAGTAGATGCACAGCGTGCCTACGGGAAGATTTCTAAGCCACAGCTTAATCTACTTCGCCTTTTCCTCTTTGTCGTATTTGACCTCGGCTATAGCAATAGTAGTCCGCGATTTATAGAGCTGCTCGGGACCTTCTGATTCTGGTAGGTCGAGGTTCCCATTCTGAAGGCGTGTTAAGTATCGCTCTGGAACCCTAAAGGCACGTCCTTTCTGCCCCTCTCGCAGTTGGAGTCGCTAGGTTGCCTCTTTGGGTGTCTCAACCGTCCTTGACGCGAGTGGATGATAGGTATCAAGTTGGCGGATTCTGGCCGCACTTCGGAGCTGTCGCTGCTGGAGCATTATTTCTGCAGGTAAGATCCCTGATCCTCGGTGCAGAACTATATATGGTGTAGGCCGCCACACTGGTATTGCAGCTCGAATTGCATTCAAAATAGTCCTATCTAGCAGCTGGAGGTGCCATCCGACACCCGTACTTTCTTTGTTGTCTTGTTGTCTTGTTTGGTTGTGATATGGGTCAGTACAGGCCACCAGGTTTCAGCGCCATAGATTGCCGTGCTCACTACAAATGCATTCACCGCATTAATTAGTGGTCCCGGAGCCGCACCTCGATGAACCCTGTTTATGCTGCGTATGAAGTGGGAAAGTCGCTGTGCCTTAATACACCATTCCTGAACGTGCTGTCTGAATAATAGTTGAGCATCAAGCCAAACTCCGAGCCATCGGATATGCGGAGAACTCATAATTAGCTGTTCCCCAACTCTAATTGTTAAGTTGGATGAGTCGAGTTTCTTCTTCGGTCCTCCCCCAATGACCAGGAGCTCAGATGTTGAAAATGCGGCTTAGTCAGCTGGGTGATTCGGTTAAACCCCCTCACCCTCTGTATTTAGCACACACACATTTTTCATATATCTTACTGCACAACAATCACGAGGTATGAGAATGGTAGAGAGGTAGCCTTAGGAATGTAAGATAGATTGGCTGTAGAAGGAGAAATAGGAGTAACTACAGCGAGCTCTATATACATGAGGTGTGGGTGTTTGCTGAGTAATGCCAAGACTAGATTGGCATTCATGTCACGTGTAGGTGTTTCATGTTCAAGCACCTACACTTCCTTGTATTGAAAGGCTGAGGGCGATGGATAGGGAGACGTCACCTTGTGAATAGAATACTGATAGGTATGGGAGAATTCAATAGATCACTTGGACAGAGTAAGATGATTGATTGATGGTGAATTGTATTTGTGGATGATTGATGTATAGATACTGAGAGTAAAAAGGCCCTATCTATATACAGGAGTTCCTACCCTTATTCCTCTACATGGTATTGTCTATGATAGCTAGAGTAACTACAATGGTGTCCTCATTGTAGTGAACACGTTGATGTTAGTGTGTAGGGACCAGGAGGCAATAGTGATCAGACTCTAAGGGGTTAACTTTGCTGGTGAACAGTTATCCCCTGAAGGTGTGTGCAGTTATGAACTCAGATTTTTACAACACCTTGCTCATTGCATGTTTGGAGCCCTGAGGGCGTAACTATTACTATACATATTCTCCACATACCTTATCTTACCCTCTATCTATTCTCGCCACTGTGAATCCACTCTCTCAATAATCCTAACAGGTTATGAGACCGGTGTTTAACAATACATCGACTTCCGTTAAAATATCAGCGAAAATGTTTTCATCCACAGGATTAAAAGATCATGATAACCACAATGGTCTCCACCAATATAAATCCGACTGGGGGAATATTGTAATCCTAGGACTCAGCACATATACTGAGTGGCGCATTACCTGCGAAATGGCTTTGATAAATGCGGGGGCACTTAATATTGCTGATGGCTCATGGAAGAGACCATCCAGCACTGACACAATAAACATCTCTCGCCCAAACACTCGGGCCTTTGCATCCAGTAGCACTCACAATCAAGAATCATCTAGCACGACAGACTCCGAGTTTTGTGTGCAGGAAGAGAGATGGTTGTCCAAAGCGCGGCAGGCGCAAATAATAATACCAAACTCAATTGAGACTCAATTAATGGAGCAGTCCCTTAAGTTCATGAGATTGATAGACCCTGCTGGGCTATGGGATCTCCTCCAATAGATGGACCCAAATAAAGATCCAACAAACATTGCAGAATTAAGGTGCAAGTTTACTTCAGTCAAGCTTGACCCATCAAAAGATACGATACAAGCAATAGTCGTGCGCCTTAATAATCTGAAAGTTAAGCTATCAATGACGTCTCGATTGGTAACTGAAGAAGATGTAAAAGAACAATTGATTGCGTCTCTCCCAAAGGACAATTCAGCATGGTCTACTGCGCGGCTACAAGCTCTAAATATCGGTAAAAGTCTCGCCGAAACGACCATTTATCTTCAATCTCGTGAGGCGAACATAAGTAACAATCAGCTCTCTCAAGTATCGACAGCTAATTTTGCACACGGTAACTTTAGCAAAAGAGGAAGAGGTAAAAACCGAAGTAGGCATCATACATCCAACTCTGGTCAACGTGATAATGCTTGTGGAGGTCCGAGACGAAATCGAAGGCAAAGAGAAAATAAAATGGATACAAATGAATGTCTCTTCTGTGGTAAAATTGGGCATCTAGAAAAACATTGTTGCATTAAGCTAGCTAAGAGTAGAGAAGTCAAGGCAAACGCGAAAGATAAGGATGATGCCCGTTTTGTACAAGTAAAAGACCTCAATGCATATGATTCAAACTACTTGACGTCCCATATTGAAGAAAAGAGTAAACTAACCTACGAAGGAGGTTTGACCAAGATAATAACCTTCCTGAAATTAAAATCTAGTAAAAGTTATCACCAACAGTTTAAAGCAGTGTCTGCAAAAATACAAAACAATGTAACAAGCTGGATCATCAACTTCCAAAAGTTTTTATGGCTCTACAATCTAATGCTACAGCATTTCCAACTGTCACAAGTCATGCACTACTTGCCAAACCTAGAGAAGTGCTCACAAATATCGACTCTGGCGCATCAGAGTATTTTAGTAACATAAGAGGTGACTTTTCTAATCTAAATAGATGGAACACACCGAAATCTGTTCAAATTGCAGATGGTAAAGTTATTCAATGCGAAGGATATGGTACTATATCTTTTAGGACAAGTGAAAAGCAGATTGAGCTGAAAGAAGTTTGGTTTATCCCCGTGTTTGGGCACATGCAACTTCTGTCTGTCTGGGCCTTTAATAAAAGAGGTATAGATGTGAAGTTTGTAGATGGACATTGTAAAATGATAAGAAACGGGCAAGTATTATTTGAAGCCCACGGAGAAGATGGTGTCTTCAAAATCAAGACAAAATCAGTACCCCAAGCAACATCAGCTACCGAAGCTAGTCTAACAATACCACAAGAAACTGAGACAGAATGGGAGGTCTTACACAGAAGAATGGGCCACATCAACATCAAAGACATTGACAAGATATTGAAAGCTGGTCATACTGGTTTAACTATCCCAAATAAGAAAAGATCAATTCCCATTGGATCGAAATCCTGTGAACCATGTTTAGCAGGGAAAATGAAAGAAACTTTCAACAAGAAATCTGACAGTCGCTCAACTACCACTCTTCGTCGAATTCATTGTGATATCTCAGATATCCAGTCCATCTCTGTTCGTGGATATCAATACAACTTTCTTATGGTAGATGATGTAACAAGAATGTGTTGGGTCAGACTTTTGAAGACAAAGGAGATGAACGAAGTTCTGACCACATTCAAGCAACTTAAAGCTGAAGCTGAATTGCAATCCAGTTGTAAAATTATCTACATGAGAGCCGACAACGGT